AAAACTTTTTCTAAGGTCACTTGAGATTTGCTCTCTGACTTTTGGATTAATTAAATTGTGTTAATTATCAGGTGTTTGGAGATTCTCCTTTTGTTTCTGATATTGGTTTTCTGGTTTCATTCCATTATGCTCAGAGAATACACTTTGCTTTGTATCAATTCTTTTACATTTATTAAGACTTCTCTTACGATCCAGGGTATAGTCACTATGGAACACCTTTACATATAAGTTTTCTATTTCTATCTCACCATACCCTTTCTCATGGCAGACCTGGTACTTCATATGTCCCACTTCCTGCCTTCCATATCACAAATATAATAACCTTACAGTAGTATAATTACACTTACCCTCCCCACAACCCAGCTTCTGGTGGTTATAATTACGTCTTTTCCTTCTATATTTTTTACATCTACTTATACAATGTGTCTTTATTTTTACTTCAAACAATCAATTCTTATATCACCAAAATAGTCTTTTTCCCACTTGTTTACCATGATGGTCTTCATTCCTTCATGTAGTTCCACATCTCCATCTGGTCTTAGCTCCCTTTGGTCTAAAGGGCAGCCCTGGGGTGCCTGGGTGGCTCAGTGGGTTGAGCCTCTGCCTTTGGCTCAGGTCATGATCTCAGGGTCCTGGGATCGAGCCCTGCATCAGGCTCTCTGCTCGGCAGGAAGTCTGCTTCCCCTCTCTCTCTGTCAACTTCTCTGCCTACTTGTGATCTCTCTCTCTCTGTCAAATAAATAAAATCTTAAAAAAAAAAATCAAGGGCAGCCTTTAACATTCCTTGTAGTACAGTTCTGTCAGTGATGAGTTCTCTTAGATTTTATCAGGAAATGTCTTTACTTCACTCTCATTTTTTAAGGATTTTCTGCTAAACACAGAATTCTGGGATGACAAAGTTCCCCCTCCGCACCCCAGCACTTAAAAATGTTTTCATTGTCCTCTAGCCTACCTTGTTTCTGATCAGAAGCTGCAGTTCTTCTTTTAGGTGCTTTGTAGTTTGTTCAGCTTCACGCATCTTTAAACTGTAATTTTTCATCACATTCATGCAATTCAGACATTTTAAAAATATATCCTTCTGCCCCATCTCACTTTTCCTTGTGAGTGTCCAGTTGAATTGCATGGTAGGCTGTTTGATATTGCTGCACAGATCCTAGAGGGTCTGTTCATTATGAGATCATTTCTGCTGATCTGTCTTTCAGGCCACTGGCTCTGTTTTTCTCTCTCCAATCTGCTAGTAAGCTTATCTAGTAAAAATTTTCAGTTTTTTTAGTTTTAGTATTTCTGTTAGTTTCTTCCTAATAATTGCCATTTCTGGGCAGATTCCTTATCTATTTACTTCTTAAGACCAGGCTTTCCTTTACTTCAACTATGGATCACATTGTTTTGTTTTCTTGTAGGCCTAAAGGGCTTTTTATTGAATATTGTACATTATGAACAATAGTCTGGAGTCTCTTGTTTCTCCTTGAGGCATATGGGTTCTTGTTTTAGCAGGCAGTATAATTACTGGCTAAGGGCCTTACACTTGTTTATACTTGGTTTTTTGTCTTGTCTTTACACATCAGCAAAGAGCCTAGAGTGTTTCCCAAGCCCCACTAACTGGGTGATACTCAGCCTCCAAACTTGTTTCCTGTGGATCTTGTCATGGTTTGATTTTAGAATTTATTAAGGCAGACCTAGAATAGGCCTTACTCTAGACTATGATCCTTACCTCACGTTTTAACCTTTCTGCTGTTCCAACTGGAGTCCAAGGATGTTAAAGATGCACTTTTTGGGGCGCCTGGGTGGCTCGGTGGGTTAAAGCCTCTGCCTTCAGCTCCGGTCATGATCTCAGGGTCCTGGGATCAAGCCCCGCATCAGGCTCTCTGCTCAGCAGGGAGCCTGCTTCCCCCCCCTCCCTTTCTGCCTACTTGTGATCTCTATCTATCAAATAAATAAATAAAATCTTAAAAAAAAAAAAGATGCACTTTTTGAGATCTCTCCATTTTGGTAGGGCCGTAACTCTTACCCCAGGAATGTTCTAACTCTAATATCTCTGTTCTAATCTTAACCCATTTAGTACTTTGCTTTCTAGTAAGCCTCAAGGAGCCTCTCTGTGCAAATACTAACTGGCTGCATTATTCAGAGTTCTCCAGAGAAATAGAACCAATAGGAAGGATACACACACACACGCGCGCGTGCGCATGCGCGCGCGCACACACACACACACACACACTGTCGGGAATTGATTCGTGGAATATGGAGGCTGAGAAGTCCCAAGATCTGTAGTCGACAAGCTGGGGACCCAGGAGAGCCAATGGTATAGTTTCAGTCCAAAGCCAAAGGACTAAGAAGCAAAAGAGCCGATAGTATGAGTTAGTTCCAAGTTCAAGTCTGAAAGGAGAGAGAAGATAGATGTCCCAGCTAGAAGCCAGGCAGAGAGAATTCTTACCCAGGACTTTTGTTCTATTCAGGCCTTCAGCAGATTGGTTGAGGCCCACCCACTGTGGAAGGGCAATCTTCTTTACTTAGTTTACCAATTCCAATGTTAATCTCATCCAGAAATACTCTCATAGACATACCCCAAAATAATCTTTAACCAAGTATCTGGGCACGCTGAGGCCCAGTCAAGTTGAGACATAAAATTAATCATCATGCCAGCCTTCAGCCACAGACTTTTAGGGGATTCACACATAGACTTCTGCAACTCCCTGTCTGCATGACACCTTCCTTTCCATTGCTGTGCCCAGTGGTTTCCAGTGGTTTCATCTGTCAAGTCTATTTTTGCCTCCTTAGCCCTGTGGGATCTCCCTACTCTGCTCATACTCCAGCTGTCTGCACTACACTTGGGAAGTTGTCTCTGCTTAGAGGAACTCGGTGATTTTCGGGGCTTGCTTTATGAGTTTCCTCTCAGGGATCAGTCTTGCACTTCCTGTTGTCTGAAAGTAGTTGCTTCATAAATTTTGTCCATTTTCTTAGTTGTTCATGGCGGGAGAACTAGCCTGGAATCACTTAATTATGGCTGGGAAGGTGGTTAATTTTCAGTTGCTTTTATAGTATTTCATTATATGAATTATGCCACTGTTCCTCCATTCTTGGTTGGTTGACATTAGACATTTAGGTGTGTTCAAATTGTCAATAATACAAATGATGCTGCAATGACTCTCTTTGTACCCAGAAATGGAATTGCAAGGTTATAAGGTACCTATTTCTTCAGTCTTACTAGATATTGTCACGTTGCTTTCCAAATTGTAGTTTTACATATCTACAAACAGCACAGCATTCCATTTGTTCCACATCCTTCCAAAATTTAATCTTGTTGAACTATTAAATTTTTCTACTTCTGCAAAGGAATGCAAAATGGTTTCTTGTTACTTCAGTAAAGATTTCCTAGGTTACTGAGGTATTTACAGATATACATGTACATATGTATTTATTATTATTGGCCATTTGGGTTCCCTATTCAATAAATTACATTTTTATATCACTTGTCCTTTTTTTACAGTTGAGTTTTTTTGTAGTGATTCTTAGGAGTTCCTTATAAATTCTAGTTCCTTGGTTTTTAAATGAGTTATATGAGGTTTTTTTGGTATGTATTAGTTGTTTCTTATCAGTCTTAGCTTGTCTTTTAGCATCTATGTTGTCTTTTCCCATACAGAAGTGTTAAATTTTAATGCAGTCATATTTATATTTTACTAAATGAGTTACAGGTTTGTGTGTCCATTTCTTCAACCTCTAAACACTGGGGTGTCCTGAGGCTCAAGTCTCACCTCTCCATCTGTATTAATTCCCAAGTAATCTTAGTCTCATGGCATGTGTACACTGATGGCTTTTATGTCTGGCTCTTCCTCTGAATATCAGTAATATATGATAATTTGCTGAGCTAGATACTTTCTTCTTCCTTATCCAGATTCCTTGAATGGGAATTTTGCACTCACTGCCTCTACTTCCTGGTTTTCCGTTCACAATTTAACTCACTGGAGCGTGGCTCTTATCCGGCTCTTCAACTGCTTCTGCAGAGATCTATTCCTAAGTAACAGCCCATCCCATTTTCTTTTCAAATGAAGTCTTTCGTGAAATCAAACAGACAGAAGCAGAATTACACTTGCAATGGGTTGGGGAGAACTGCCTGCCTTTCTCATCTCTTTAGGTTCCTCCAGAGGCCTCTGTACTGAGCCGTGCCTATCTTTCTAACCTCTCTTTTCCCTCAAATCTCCTAATCTCCAGCCAGACTCCTTTCCATCTCTGTGCTTCTGCACAGTGCTCCTGCATCTGCCTTGATTTAGCCCAGTTCTTGTTGGCTCAAGAAACACCTCCAAGCCTGTCTTCTCCTTTATCATTCCCTCTCTTTTCTGTTCCTCTGTTATCATGCTGGCCACAGTGAATAGCTTTCTACTTACACATCTTTCTTCTCCACTAGAGATCAGAGACCCTGTCTTTTCATGTCTATTGGTAGTGGAGTCAATGAATAGCGGAGGAAGCTGAGCTAGATCAAAATCTGAATTGGGAGACCTCCAAAACTTTTTTTTAGATGGTTTTATTAAGATAAAATTCACATACCATAGAATTCACAGGGTTGTGCAACCCCACCATAATCTAATTCTAAGGCATTTTTTGCCTCCCCCCTCAGGAAAAACCTACCCTTTAGCAGTCATTCTCCATTTTCCCACCCCCAACATGCTCCCCAGCCCTTGTCAACCACCCATCTACTTTCCCAGACCATCATATTTAACATCGTTAAATTGATCACAAATCCTCAAAATCTACCCGATTCTGAACCATGATGTGAAATTTGGTAGGTAACTGTCCCACTTAACCAATTTGTACGGAAGGAAATCAAACTTAGCTTGCAGCTTCAGGTTTGATCCGCAGTCTGTGACACTACTAGCCCGCTTGATCGGGAGTTTATTAGAATTAGATCCACATTTAACAAGGGTGGCTGGTCTGGGCCTGTCTGGCTTTTCTCTGTTGCTGTGCATGTAAACCCCCTTTGGCCGAAACAGGGCAGCTGAAAAACTCACCACCTCTGGTAGCAATCGTGAAAAAAGTGCCCGGTAACCACCTCTTCCGGGGAGTTCTGCCCTCTAGAAAACAACAGGGATCGAGCATTACGTGAGCGGTCGCTTTCGAGAGCTTTTATTTTTAACGCGACTCTTCTACCGGGTCACCTCGGGGTGGGTGCCGCTCGGTGGGCGCGCGGAAGCCCCCGGAAGACTACCTCGCGGCTTCTGGAGGCCGCAGTTGCAGAGCCGGGTCGGGTCTAGCGCGTTGCCAGGCAGCTGCGGCGTTGCCCGCGGCGGCCGCGCGTACGAGTCGCCTGCGCAGTGACGCAGCCGGCGCGCGGTGACGTAGCGCGCGGCGCGGTGCACGCTGGGATATTTAAGTCTTCTCCGCGGCGCGGAGCCGCGATGTCTCCGGCGGCTGCGGCGGCTGGCGGAGGCGAGCGGCGGCGGCCGATAGCGAGCGTCAGGGACGGCCGGGGCCGGGGCGGGGGCTGCGGGGGCCGGGGCGGGGCGGCGCTCCTCGGCCTGTCGCTGTTCGGCCTCGTGCTGTACCTGGTGCCGGCGGCGGCGGCGCTGGCCTGGCTGGCCGTGGGGGCCACCGCGGCCTGGTGGGGACTGAGCCGCGAGCCCCGCGGTTCGCGCGCCCTCTCGTCGCTCGTTCGGAACGCGCGGCGCCAGCGAACCCTGCACGCCTCGCCTCCAGCCAAGTCGGCGGTGAACGGAAATCTCCTAGAGCCGCGGACCCTCCTCGAAGGACCCGACCCCGCCGAACTGCTCCTCATGGGCAGTTACCTGGGCAAGCCCGGCCCCCCGCAGCCTGCCCCCGCCCCGGAGGCCAGGGACCTGCTGGAGAGGCCTGGCCGCCGCCGCACTCCCGCCCGCGCCGCGCCGCCCGCGCACTCGGCCCATCGTGTGCATCACGTTCACCCCTCTCTCCCCACTCCTCTTCTTCGATCCTCTAGGAGGCCTTCCCACCGGTAAGATCCGCTCAACTTCCCCACACCCTCCTCTCTCTCGACCGGCTTTGAATGGAGAGCTTGACTTTTAAATCCGATTTTCTCTTTCATCAAGTCAAAAGTGGATTCTGTGTCGCTTTGTCCTCTTGAAACACCTTGCTGTGTGTCAACCGTCCGCTGCCTTGGAATAAGTTGTGATGCCAGAGCCCTTCCCTTTTTTACAGTTTTTAAAACTGAATTTTAATACAGCCTTTCGAAAAAACACTTGATAAGCTACTAAAATGTCCCTACTTCTGGTGAAAATATCTTGATCTTTCTAGAGTAGTTATAATAGTATGTTTTGCTGTATTTTTTCTTTGAACCAATAAGAGCAATTAGGTCAGTTAGCCGAGCTCAAAGAGGTGTTGTGTTCTCAGGAGACCCCTCTTTAATAAAACTTGATTGATAAAGATCCAATTAAAAGGGCATTTCCATTTTGTCCCAGTAGCTGACCATTACAAGAGAATACAAAAGTTTGGTGAAAATATTAGATTATTGATTAGTACGTTTAGTTGAAAGATGAACTTAGGTGTCAAAATGTTTGACTTTCGGCGTTTATTGCTTGTGACTCTGCATAAAAGATTGAAAAGATCTACGAATTCTTGAAAAGTCCCTCCTTGCATGTCCTAACACACATTTTTCTTTCACTACACTTTTTTTTTTTCTCGTGTGGGCAGGGTTTTCAACTTTCCTCTCAATTGTTGAAGTCCATTGTAGGGACAGCTGCTGAGCAGCTGTCACTTTCCATCCTTACATGGAATGGGGGAACGTTGCCATAAAAATGCTGTGGTTTTTGTGGCTCAAAAAGCAGTTTAAAGGGGTGCCTGGATGGCTCAGTGGGTTAAGGGTTAAACCTCTGCCTTTGGCTCAGGTCATGATCTCAGGGTCCTGGGATCGAGCCCCACATCAGGCTCTCTGCTGGGCAGGAAGCCTGCTTCCCCCTCTCTCTCTGCCAGCCTCTCTGCCTACTTGTGATCTCTCTCTCTGTCAAATAAATAAAATCTTAAAAAAAAAAAAAAAACAGTTTAAGGGGCGCCTGGGTGGCTCAGTCAGTTGAGCATGCAGCTCTTGGTTTAGGCTCAGGTTGTGATTTCAGGTTTGTGAGAGGAAGTCCTGCATCAGGCTCTGTGCACTCAGGGCGGTCTGCTTGAGATTATCTCCTCCTCTTCTTCTGCCCCTCCCCAGCGTGTGCTCAATTTCTCTAAATAAATAAATCCTTTTTTTATTTTTTTAAGTGGTTTAAGCTCTCTGGAAGATAACTGAACCCACGTGATTCTCCAGTAATTTACATTTCTGCCATTCCTTCAAGCTTCTTTGGTTCTATAATATGTCTCCTGTTCTCCATAGGGATTGTGGGACTTTATCAAATCGCTTTATGATCACACCTCGAAGACGCTATCCAATCCAACAGGCCCAGTATTCCCTTCTGGGCGTACTTCCTACAGTGTGCTGGAATGGTTATCACAAGAAGACTGTGCTGTCTGCTCGTAATTCCAAAATGGTGTGCAGCCCAGTGACAGTGAGGATTGCTCCTCCGGATAGTAAATGGACTCGTTCACCATTGTAAGTGTTACTACTGGCAGACTAAACCCCTGTTTATTTTCACTTATTTTTCCACAGCTGTTCTCTGACAAAACAACTATAAAGCAAAAAAGGGAAGAAGTGCTTACTTGAATGAGAAATCCCTGACTCTAGTTCTTGAACAGCGTTTTATTTTGGCCTTAGATTGTAGCTGTAATTCTAAGAGCAGTTTCTGTCAGTGTATACTTTTCCTTATTAGTTAGCTTCTGATTTCCGGTGACTGAAGTCTGTGCTGTATGGCATAGTTATTAACATAGTTTAATGCCAGAATCTTGTTTTTCATTATAGACCAGAGCAGACAATCAACTCAACACTGTCCTCACCATCAAGTAATGCCCCAGACCCATGTGCGAAGGAGACCGTACTGAGTGCCCTCAAGGAGAGGAAGAAAAGGACCGTGGAGGAGGAAGACCAGATATTTTCTGATAGCCAGGAAAATAAAAGAAGGTAACAGGCCCCTCAGAGTACTCAACAGGCCTCTGACACAGACTCCTGTGATTTGTTGAAATACAGATCCTGCCCAAAAAGAAACAGAGGCCACACCTCCACATTTTGTGAGCCTCAGTAGGTGCCCTTCTTTGGATTCTATAGAAGAGCTTGGTAACAAGGGCTTGAATGCTGTTAACTTCCTAAGGTACAGGTTAAATGTTATAACATACCTTTCCCATGAGTACTAGAGATCAGGTGACAGCTATTAGCCATGTCAGCCTCATACTTTTGATACAAACGTGCTAAATTTTATTATTTCTTTTAGAGAGAATGCTAAAAATCTTCCCTTCACCAACTTATGTCGCTCAGTTATTTGGGTAACCATCATTCAGATGTCATAGTGGTGCCAAAGAAAGTGCTTGGGGAGGAAAATTCATGACTGGAATATGGTAGATTTATCAGTAATGAGAGTAAAACCAATTCCATTATTTGGTTTCTGATACTTTAATGAAAATGGCATAAGCAGTCTGTATCCTGGGGGCGGGGAGTGGAGGGGCAGTCACTAGGTGTGACACATAACTGCTTTCCAAGACTCAGTTAAGGGTTTCACTCATCTTTCAATTTGGCAGACTGAGCACCTGGTGTGTGCCTGGGCCTACTCAGTACTGTGGTTAGAGCAATGAGTAAGACAGAGTCCCTATGGGACTTGGATAATAAAATAAGGAATTCTAGATTGTACGTGTATAGAAGTAAAAAAAAAAGAAAAGAAGAAACACAACAGGACGATAAACAGACTAACGAGAGGGGGTTTCTTCGTGTACGTTGCTCCAGGAAGCACTCTGAGGAGACCATGGACTGCACACTCGTTAAATATAACCATTACCTAAACCAGACTGTTCATATCCTACCAAGTTGGCTCTCTTTGGTACTACCAATGCAGAGTTAGGTGGGGAGACATTAATAAATGGAAGTGTTTTTATGTGACACAGGAAGATCTAATGATGCGTACAGATGGTTTTTAAGTGAGCAGTGTGACCGATGTCCACAAGCTAAGCAGGGGTGGCCAGGAGCGGGGGATGTGGAGGTCGGAGAGGGAATCCTCGTCATTCTTACGGTCCAGATGAGTCTCTCATACTCTCCAAGGTTAAAATATTTCTTGACTCAGTGAGCCTGTAACTGAGGATTCTGTATCATTTCTCTCACACTTAGAGTAGGCAGTGATTACGAGAGTCATGCATAGGCCCTTATGTGTGATATGTGAAATTTTTCCCTAACAGATTTGCCATATTAACATCCAGAGCACTATGGGATGTGTGGGTTAGTCCCTAAAATGTTTCTGTTTTTTGTTTTTTATTTGTGGCTGGTAGGGTATTAAGTTTGTGATTGTAATACTTTGGAGAGAAGTTAGCAAATAAGACACCTGAATAAGTTCAAAAGGTCTTGAAGCATTTTTGTACTCATTATTATGAGGAGAGTCTTTTAGAATGAATCTACCTTTTAGAATCTTTAGGGTTTGAAGCAACCTTTTTCTTGTCTAGCCATTTCTACAGGCCACAGAAATACTTTAAGGCTCCAGGAGTATGAGAGCATGCTCTAAGAAAAAAAAAAGTCAGTTCATTTAATTGAGGGTTTTTTGATTTGTCACAGGCGCCATGATAGCAGTGGGAGTGGACATTCAGCATTTGAGCCCCTGGTGGCCAATGGAGTCCCTGCTTCTTTTGTGCCTAAGTAAGTGAGAATCGATCTGAATGAGGTAGATGGGGGAAGGGCATCGTGAGAGCTGTTGTCCTATAGATTTTCCTCTGTGTTTTTGCGTTGCTTTATTAGTCCAGGTTCAAATCTTTGACTTCAGAGAAGAACATTTTGAGTAATGTCCCACAATAACCATCTTCTAATTTCTTTTAATATTTTTTCATTATTACGGATAAAAATATGGTAAGGATAAGAGAATTTGTATATGTATTTAATAACTGTGTATAAAAACAGGTTTACGCGATAAAGTGCAGCAGTATGAAATGTAAGATAAATGTTAAGTTTGTACATTTGAGTTTAAATACATTTAGGGTTTGGATGAGAGGGAAAGTATCTTGGAAATCTGTGTAAAAAGACTTAAGGTAACTTACATGCTTATTGAGTCAGGAGTGTGCCGAAAGAGCTGGTGTGCTCCCAGCCTGTGCTGATAGCAGAACAAAGACTAGAATGGAGCAGGCGGGGGGTCCTTCTGTCCTCATTTGTGCTTGCATTGTCTGTGCAGTGTTGTGCTTGGTTCGATGGCCAGCACTGTAAGGGACAACAAACAACCTGA